TATTGCCTTCAATGCATAGCTCCTTTTCCAACCCTCCCCCTCCATTTGACAGCCCACTGACAGTGCTGGATTTATGCACCAGTTTATCTGCCTGCAACGCGCGGCTACCTCCACCTCCCCCCAAACCATCGGTGAACGAAACTGCGGCAGCTACAACCACTGTACGACGAGCGATTATTACAGTACGACGAGTACGCGATTATTACAGCTGATAATGATTGCCCGAGTCTGGTAGGGACACAGGATCAGCAATGCCCATGTGCGCCATGGTTGTTCTGCATCCATGCTATTGCCTCTAATGCATGACTTCCCTCCGAATCTCCCCAACAGAAAGTCCACTGACAACCTTTGTTTATGCATCAATGATATCAGCTACCGCCTCCAATACGTAGCTGTCTACCGCACCACCGCCTCATTGGTGAACGAAACTGGCAGCTGTGACCATTACACGATAAGTACGCGGTTCTTACAGCTGGTGATGATGATGACTGTTTTGATAGACTGTATTTGCCCTGGTGTGTTTGGGGGAAACGTAACCACTAGCCCTGCAAACTTCGATGCGAGATACTGTATTGTTCTCAAATTAATATCCTCGATTGACTTACGGACAAGGTTTTCATCTTCAATCTAGTGGCGACTGAGGCTAAAGTAATGTGAGCTGAAGTCATCGTCTCCATGATTGAATTTGCAAATATTAATAGAAAATAAATGTCCATTTAGTTGTATTCTTTCGGTGCACATCAAGCGCGCAACTCCCAAGAGGCTTGTTGGCTGGGACACTGCCAGGTTGCCGAAGCCTAGATGGGTGTGGCAGAAAACCCAACGTTTGAGGGTCGTAGCACCTTTTGGGTACCTAACGACCATGCCACCAAAGGAAAGCACGAGGGTTGGGGTACTGTCAGGTCGCCGAAGCCTAGACAGGGGAAGTCGAGAGGCAGGGGTCAGGTCGAAACCACGGACACTCCAGTCAGCGTTGCGCCCAGAACCACTGAGTCATCTCGCACCGACGTTTGAGAGTGGGTAGTTGGGAAGGGTTTTAACTGATTTTCTTTGATTCGTCAATCCATTGGTTCAGGTTTTAATGTGGCTTCTTAAGTAATTTTTAGCTAAGAAGTCATGGATCCGGAATGCGTCGGTAAGAGCTCTGAATTGAAGGATGAAGGACGTACAGTTCCACGAAATTCCGGTTGTTTGCACGCATCAATCCTTGTTGTGTATGAAAACATGCAAGTGCCAGTGCGGGTACTCGGTTCCTTTTTTGTTTGGGCTAGTAAAGTAGTTGAAGGTGAGTACCATGTGGGAACTGCAGCCAAGTGGGGTCTGGTACTCGAGGAACTCGAACGTCAACTCCTTTGTAAATACGACGCCCAGTGACGAGGGCACCTGCAAACTGCCTCACGGTTTGATGTGTTTAGCGTAGGGGGGGATGGAAAGGATTAGCTCCTGAATTTGCCTCACGAATCGAAGACCATACGAGGGAGTATTGAAGTCACCCGTCGTTAGCTCTGTGCTTGGGATGCTGGTAGATAATCTTGCTGCACCAAATTGGCGTGCGGCTTGATTTGTGGGTTCATTCCAAATAGTGCACGTTGCAGTCCGTTTTTGGCAATATATCGGAACGGTGGTAGCTCGCTTTCGTTAACTGAATGTTGGTCAGGTGGCTATTGATGATGTAACTTGGCAATTTCCTCGCAGACTTTTCGTCACTGGTTAGCACCCGGTTGGTTGGGTGGGTGGTAACTGAGTCGTGGTCGGAATCCAAACACGTGTTTCAAAACGAGTGCAGTCATTTATTCATCCGTGCCATCGGTAATGACGGCTGTGTGATCTGTTTGGGTCCCTGGTTGGAGGATATATTACCCAAAGTCCCGTTATTTAAAAAGCCAGTACTGCATAAAGCACTATAGTCAGGCCATAGCTGAAGTAGTCGCTCGTTTCTGGTCGTACTTACTGTGTCCAATCCATGTCAACCATTTAATTGAGTCTCAGGTACACTAAGCTTGCCCACTTGTGCTCCCAGATCTCTGGCAACCACAACTATATCTGCGCTTTTAGCTCGCCGTAACAGGGCATTCAAAGTGACATAAAACTTGTGTTTGATGGTATCAGAACTCCTATCTGTTGGAGCGCAAGTAGACACAACAAACAGGCAGCGACGAACTCCCGCTTGTGAGACTATTTAACGGAAGTTGTCAGAGGAACTGCACAGAGGGGACTATGAACAGGTATCCAGTCAAACAAGGATCCTTTCGCCGGGTTACTTATGGCGATATGTGCCCCTGCACATCCTGCGACGGCAGCCCCTGTATCTTCAAAAGTGCGAAGAGTGATGGGACGGTTATCTCAAGCACTATGCTCGAATCTTGAATTCTTGTTTCTGATACACAGCACATCTCAATATCAAGCGAGTCCAGTGTAAGAGTGAGACGTTTAGAATGTATCCGAGAAGGATTTGAAAGTCTTAATTATCTAGGATAACCAGCATTTTACCTGTCTGAGAACAGGCGTTGGTACATGCAAAGGTTCAGTACGAGTATATAGGGTAAGTATACTAATAAGCACACAAAAATCATGACAGAGAGCAAGCGCAGTGGGTTGTCCTGCTTTTTTCAGATTACGAACAATAGAATCAGCCAGATTGACTGGGCGCCGAGGCTTTAAGATTGATGTCGAGCTTCCTGAGGATGTCAGCACCGAATGACGCGGAGGTGTTACTGCCAAAACCTATGCAGGGCGGACGTAGTCAGATGTCCTAACTGACGGGCCTACAAGGAGAATGTTATTAATAGGGTTGAGGAGGGAGAAAAAGATTGTTTGAAAGAGAGGGGCGTCACCAGTAGCCTGTTTTCGCTTACTCGCCCTGCAATGTGCAGCATATAAAGTGCACCGTGCGACCGTCACTGTGGCGTGGCAATATTTTCGGGTTTAGGAATAATTCCCGTAGTGGAGCTGGGATACTTCTAGGGCTCCCGCTCCCAGGACTATTAGGATCCTCGACCACGCCCTGTGGGTCAAATGTCTTACCGCAATCAGCGGTTTTTGTCGGAAAATGCAGATGAATTGTCATTTTCATGGGATAAGTCGCTACACATGCTCCAACCCCTAAGCTCTATGGCCAGGAGACTGTTGATCAGACCTCTAACCACCGACGAACTTGGTATAGTACTCCGTGAATATAATTCAATAGGCCTTCTGGGCGCACAAACCGTTACTCCACGGTTAGTTCCAGTATCTTCCTGTCAGGATTTTAGAATCTCTTTAAGTTGATCTTTTCGTTTTATCTTTGCTGTCACTTGTTTATGTAAGCTTCAGATGATAGAAACGATAATCGTTCAGCTGCAGCACCCTTTCGGTGCCTAGACGCCATACCACCCAAAGGAAGCACGAGGGATGGGATACTGCCCACCCCTAGACAAAGTTGAGAGGCAGAGGTCGGGTCCGAACCACGGACCTTCTGGTCAGTAAATTCGCGCTCTGAACACTGGGCAATCTCGTCCCAGGCTTCAGATGAGGTTGACGAACTTTGACGGTTGGTGGGGTAGAAGACCTTGGGGATGTCCATAAAGGGGGATATTCAGCGGCTGTAGATGTTTGCAGGACTTTTACTGAAGTTGTCATGAGGTAGATGTCGGGTCCGAGCTCGGTATAGCTCAGGGTTAGGGTACGAACTCATTGAGCCGAAGGTCCATGGTGCGAGCCCAACCCGGGCACCTCAACAGCCCCTGTGTGGTAACCTGACCTTATCCGAATCCTCGTGCTTTTTTCAGGTGGCATGGCGGCCGGGCATCGAAAGGTGTTGCAGATGAACGACGATTATTATTATTATTATTATTGTTATTATTGTTATTATTATTTGTTATTATTATTAAGTGTCAGGTCCATTGTGCTGTGACCAGCATGGAATCCGCATAGTTCTTTGGGGATTTATGTCTCGATCACGTGACTTGTTAGACGTCTGAGTAGCACTCTTGCCAGAAGCTTGCCCGCAGGCTGCCCAGAAAACTGATGCCTCTAGTTGTCAGGTGAAGTCTTGTCTGCCTTCCTAGAGTTGGACGATTAATGCATTCTTAAATTCTGGTGGGACTTCGTTTTCCTGCCAGGTAATTCTATTAAGTTGAAGAAGTGAATTGTCAACGGTTAGACTGTCATACGTGAAGAATTCTGCTGCAAGCATGTCTTTCTTAGCCACTTCGCCACTCCGCAATTTTTTGTTCGCTTGTCAGAGAGAGGTTCAGAGATAGTTCCATCGATCACTGAGACAAGCTATTTACTGCAGTCTAATAATAACAATCTATCAGCTGTAGCACCCCTCCGGTGCCTAGCTGCCGCGCCACCCAAAGGAAGCACGAGGGCTGGGTTATTGTCAGACTGCTCAAGTCTACGAAGGAGAAGTCGAGACGCAGAGGTCGGGTTCAAACCACGAACCTTCCTGTCAGTGACTTCGCCCCCTAACCACTGAGCCATTTCGCTCTTAGGGTTTTTACGCCGTATATTCTGCTATGTTTCTGCAGGTGACCTGTACTTCAGTTATGTGTTAGAATCTGGGAAGAGTATTATGGGTTTTGTGCTGGGGCTATAAATGTCTTTCACATAACTGCTCACTGATGATGTCCCCTCATGTGGTGGTGAAACGTTTGCAAATCAATTGACAGAATCGGAAAACAGATCAAGAGCCATCTGATCAACAACCAATCGAAAAATTCATTTTGATGCCGCTGAACAGCGAATTATTCGGTATTCTCTCTTCGCCTTCACCATTTTTCGTTGATATGCTTGATTTGCTGGGTTATGTGGAGCATTATTTAGTTGCTGTTTTTCAACATCACTGTTCGGACTGTTCGTCGTCATCATATGGTGCTTCAAGCCGCGTAGCACCTCCATCAGCGAGTTGAATGGATTGAAGGCCGTCAGTGCGGTTGATGTCGACACACCAACCCGATTCTCTGGTCTTTGAGACGTTTTACTTAAACGTTTGTGCGATCGGTGATGCAAGTGACGCAATGTGGCTTGCGAAGCTGGATTTCAAGCTTCGGTTAGGCAAGCTGGTGGTCAGTTCACAGTCAGCTCCGCACATCACTCGTGTGATTCATATCTCTCGAACATTTTGCTGGAGAACGATAACGTGTTCCCGCGAATGAAAATGATACATGTGTAGCAGTGTGTTGCTCCTTTAGACACAATCTCGTTTTGCTGACAGAAATCGTGTGAATCGTGCAAAGTTTAATAAGTCACTCACTGTTGGCTTTTATAGTCCCTGAACCGGTCAGTAAATTCGCGCTCTTGCAACTGAGCCATCTCGCTCTCGCCACAAGAATGGGTGGGATCAAACGCAAATCTCACGCCTACAGGTGAACCTAACGGTAAGTTCGTTTACCTGGGTAGCTACATAAGGCCCGGCGGGCTGGTGAAAGACGAAGTTACCTCCCGAATCTTGAATGCCAGGACAAAGTTTGCCAACCTCCGACGTTTGCGGTGCCGACGTGGCACCAAAGGTAATTTGTGCAATGTTGTGGTCCGACCCGTCCTACTTCATGAATCAGAGGCGTGGATGTTATGTGGAAGATCTTCAGAGATTCCCTGCTTATGATCTCCGGTGCCTCCGAATCATCGCGTGGGTTTGGTGGGAACATCATATCACTAATGCTGAACTACAACAGATGGTTTTATGAGTAGTTCACTGTACCTCGACAAATCAGCCGGTCACACTCCATAGGTTACGCTGGTTAGGCCGTGTTATTCATATTCCAGACGATCATGTGCCTCGTAGAGTCCTTTTTCCCCGGAGCCTTTTGTCGGATAAAGACGATCCAGGGACGATCAGTCCGTGACTTGGCAACAATGTATGAAAACCCCTACTAGTGAACCCAATTGCGTTGCTAATAGCCGTCTCCCCAGATGGAAACAACGGAAGGAGGCAGACCAATGAGTAATGACCGTGACAGATATGACTGCGTCACGCAGCCAGTGACGCTCTTGCGTTAAAGCTGTCGACTTCACTGCGTAGCTGTTACTCCCTCCCATACAGAGCAAGCAGGACCATTCGACGTCATTAGACATTTGGGCCATCGCCTGCGACGCATGATTCTCATTTCCTTATTATCTTCCTCCTGTAAACGAAGCTGTAGGAGCTGTAATATCTGTACTTAAGTGCGCGGTTTTTGGCCTAAAAATGGAATTAAACTGAACTTGGTCCAGTTTACATGGCACGAGGTTTGCCCAACCATCTTGTGGCGCTCTTCTAGCGCAAAATAACAAATCGCACACCTTCTAGTGAATGCTTACCGTTATCTTGTCTCCATCACCCAAGAACACCTAGTGTGTGGACGTTGTATGGAATTTCGTTCCTAGGGTGATGGTCAGATGACTTGGTCGTGCACATCCAATATCAATCAGCCGCACTTTCCTACATTCAGGTAAGATGACGGCCATGAAAGTTAGCTAGTGCAAGGCTCCAGCATTGGCAGACATATAAGCGCACGATCATTACCACTTGTTTTGCTAGTGCTACGCTAGTGCAGTCATCGCTGCGCAGGGGGTGGATGGATAAACTTCGAGAGATTGGGGTTTGATGAATTGTGGTGGGAGGTGGACTGCAGTTGAAGCGGCTGAATTTGGGCAGATCTTTAGCAAGCTTCAGCAACACTGACACAGTCAACAAAACTTAACCTGAAAATGATACTGTCGGCGTTCCAAACTGGTTTTTCTTGTATAATAGGATTCCAATACAATCACTTGTGGATGGTACTCAGGGTCGCGGTGTTACGGTGGAGCTGAAATGGTTTTAGTGCACTTTCAGGTGCACTCGCTTCCTCCACGTCTTGAATTTTCCGGTTTCACCACGCCTCTGCCCGTAAAACGGCTTTTCTTTAGGTGATTTCTTGCCCACCACGTGGCCGAATTTCGGCGGTTAAGGCACGAAACCACTAGCCGGAAGGTTCATGATCTGGATCGGATGCTGGCTTTTCGAATTCCGCTTGCGCACATGGTCAACCTGGCAGTATGTGAGTCCTCGTGCATCCGAGTTGTACGGTAGCTGTGCACCGAGGGCGTGACCCAGCCAAATCTCTATTTTTGATTTACATTTTGAGCCTGATGGGGTACAACCTCTCGCATCAGAAAGTGGCGGCGACCATTGTGATGTCCACTGGTTCCTACATACCCGTTTGTGTCCGGAAACCAGTGGCCCTTAATAATCGAGCAGCACGTCAATTGGACGGATGCACCACGTGCGGGCCACGGACCAAACAAAGGCATGGTCAGAATGCCAGCCAATCTGTATCGAGTATCTTTAGCTTGATGCTTTTCGCATTCTCACGGAGAATCTAGCACGAACGTGTGGAGTATTCTGTGGTTACCCTATAAATACAGCTGTATTAATCTCCCTTTATCTCCTTAAAGGGCTCTCCGAGTCTACCGTACCTTTTGCCATACCATAGTGAGCGGAGCAGGAAGCCAAGGACCGACACAGAGTTGCACGACTGTTCAGCAAGTCACAACGGTTAGAAATACCACGGGTAAGGAACTCAGGCATTGGGATGTAACTTAAAAAAAATATGTATTCATATGGGTAGGATACTCCAGGTTTTCTCACTCAGGAAGAGGGCTAACTCGGTGATCCCCATCTGAAAACCGATTAAACGAAGGTGGCGGAACGAGTGTCGAATCCGCTATTTTCTGGGAGACCATGACCCTTCGAACGTAGGTCAGTCACCCAGAAAGTCCAGATCACTCAAAAATCCACATACCTACCAGTAAGCAATGTCTTGTCTGATAATCATTCTAAATCACAAATCGCAGTTTTTGGACGTCATTTTTGTGTTTGAAATGGGGGTTTGACCAGCTTGCATAGAGCTGCGGATCCGGTTGGTGCACCATATCCCCACGTTTTTTTGTTCACTTTGGGTGGATACACTTCTGTCATGAGAAGACAATGAATATGAATTCCACGTCACCGGCTTATGAGTGGACGGTCATTTGAAAGCATTTCAGAGGGATCACGGGACAGTTGGCCAACTGGTCACCCATAATATCCACTTTCCGTCATGCAAAGGAAAGCAAAAATTTATTACCTTCAATCAAACAGCTTATTCACAGAATCATCACCCGTCGTGTCACTTTAACTCGTGTTTAAGTGTATTTACTGTAAAACTAACACTACGGGCATTAGGTTTTCAATACTTTGTTAGAGCTTGGGGGCGATTTGATAATCTGTTTTTCGAGTTATTTAACGGCTGAGTTGAAATGATTCGGTGTTATGGGCTGGTGCAAAAGTGGGATAAAATACATTGTGAATATGCACCGTGTTGCGTGCATTCTTGCCGGTAATTTTCTCTCCGGCGAAATTTTCTTCAGCTACATTTATGCAGGGTTGAGTTTTTTTTAGGAAATTATGCTCACTAATCCCTACAACGTAGCCGCGCCGACCCAGTGGGTTGCAGCTGTGATCTGTATTTTTTACGAACTTCCATCGAAGGCCTGTCTAAGAATCATATTCGCTGAAAGATAAGCAGTCAAGGGTGGTAACTCTGCCTCTTTTATGGGAACTTGTTTATTTGACGATTCTCAAGCCTACTTTTCAGGACTTTGGGAAGAAGTTTACAAGGGCTTTTTAAACCGTCACTGAAACGAAGCCCTTGTAGCCTGAACCCAATCGTGCTCTTGTTTAATTTAATGGCTTGGCTTGAAGAGTCAATGTTCATCTTCGATAGCTATCAGCTAACAAGCAACTAAGTAACATAATCGTTCCGGTTCTTCGCGGTCTGTTACCTCCATGACCCCCGATAAAGAAACATGTTCACTACAGGAGGCTAAACACAAATTTCCCGTACCTCCGATAGTTATAAATGATAAATTTGAGTTGGTTACGTACTTCTGTCTTTATTATTCACCATGTTACTGATGAGGATGACACCACTGAACAGTATTTTTATCCTCGACCATAATACCTCCACTTTTCTCCCTCAACAGCCACGCGCGATTAGGGATCCGGATCCAGTTGACCCTGCAGAATTAGAGCATCAACGTCAATTTCGTGAGAAACGTCGACTTCATTACAATGAGTTTATGGCTGCAAAAATGGCTCAAGAAACGTTGAACCCCGAAGAAACCTCCAGTGATGATTCAGAACTAGAGAGGGCAGCTGAAGAGGCCGCGCGGAATGCACGTCTCAACGCCGGAAAATCACGCCAGGTACCTTTGACTGATTCGTCACCAGCGAATCCTAACAACCGACGGGGAAAACAAAATGATACGACCGGAAGACGTAGTTAAGGGAAGTTGCTGATCAAGCCCTTCGCCTCCTCACCTCAGCCCACTTAACTAATCCCCACACTCAAGCTCCGGTGCAAATGCCGCGTTCATTGTTGGACACTTCAGCATGCTCAAGCTTACCTGATGACTTAGTTCCTGCTTTCTCAAACCACCCGTTAACCCCCAAGTTGTTACTATCCAACGTGATGTGTATATATGCTTCTCTGTTCCTCTTTCTGTAACGTGCCAAATATGATTTGGCACAATTTGAGTACGTACGAATTTGGGTTTTGTACATTACACCATAATCTGTTCGTGTCTGTGGGTGCTCTTCAAGATCGGGTAGGAATGCGCAGCATTTTTATGACTACACGATGTCGTCGAGCCCAGAGTGATATGGATCCTACTGTTCCCCTCTAAGGAAATATGGTTGGTAGTTTTCTTCATGTAGCCTTTTAAATGTCTAGCTACTTGAGCTGTCCTCCGTGTTCACTTGAAGTATTTGCAATATTTCCTAAACCCTCACATATCCTGCATGTGCTTAGGTACCGTTCATAGTGAAGTCTTCCTTCATGGGACTATTTCTCGCGTGATAGGTTTTCTCAGAGATGTGCATGTTGATCTCTGGCACCCGAAAAATACGTAACTAACACAAGTACGAACACCCCCCTCACTTTTACCCAAATCGTCTTTGGAACGAAAATGTCCGGAAAAAATTACCAATGAATATCGCAATCCCGTAGAAAAGTCCCGATTTGATTCGCTTTTTCAGGGACTAGTGCTCTGATCCAACATCAATTGAAAAATTGTGGAACATTCAGGGAATGTCTTTTGACAAGCTGTTCTGTAATATCTGACTATCTCCTACCCTGACCATAGGTCAACTCGCATTGAATTCCCATCTTCACTAAAATTTGTGACTTGCCTCAAGTGTGACTCTCGTCACTGGATGATCTTCAGAGCTTAAGTTCACGTCACTTGTGGGTTTTGCTTGTGTCACGTGTCCGAAGAAACTGCCGGAAACCGTGGATTATTTCTAAGTAAAAGCTGTATGATGCCACCTACACACCAATCAGTGACATGAACTTACGAAATCTTGCGCAAATATAAAAATATTCGTTGAAATATCCGGGGAACTCTCGTAAACTATCTGGGAAAAATCCATGAAGTATGACCGAAACCATCGGAGGCCTCTCAAAAATTTTGGTATGGCTGAATGTTACTGAATTTATGGCTTCACTTTTTTCATTTGAGGTTTTGTCCTATACCTTCAGTCTATGCTGAAAAACCGAGGAGTACCGCACAGTGTTTTCACCCTTATGTGGCATCATTAGCGGTGTGGATCTCACGAAATTCCATGAAGTTTCGGACTCGCGATCTCCCGTCTAATAATTTGAACACTTAACCGTTCGACCGCCAGCGGCTGATAAGCATTGGGATTAGTTTGCACTTAGTTTTCTCTGTTAGTTACGCTACCGCTGAATAGTTATGTAGCTAAGATGTAGAAATTACTCTTAATTTATTACTACCCCCAGTTACAGAGAGATTCACATGTCGTCCGATTTGTTGCTGTATCATCTCGGAAAGTTCGTCTCATTTATTATTCCAATAAGGTACAACTCTTCTTAGTCACATTGCGGTGGTCTGACATTCGGCAAAGTTCGATTGCAATGGTCGCTGCAGGGTTTGACTTCCTCAGGCTGTTGTTTATTCGTTTGGATCCGGTGTGTAATAAACGGCCTATCATGTGAACTGCCTTGTGTAAGACCCTGGTTTCGGTCGCGAAATATACTCATCTAACAGCCTAACTCTGGTCGAGTCGTGCGTAATTAAATGATCTATCAGGAACCACAGTTGTGTTTAATTATCTCAGAAAACACGTGTATGTTAACTATTTTAGAGAAACTAGCTTAGAATTAGCTCGTCAGCACATCAGTAAGCTTGGACAAGGCCATCACATGACCATTCACTCACACTAAGCACGTGTAGCCTGATGCATCTAATTGATCTTCATAAGTTGACAAATAACTCACTATCGGTAAAAATCGACGTTGCAGCGCGAGTGCAAACGACTCAGCTGAATTGACGGTGTGGCCTATTGATACCAGTCTTAATATAAACAAGGTAACCGCTGTGTTACCTTGTTCACCGTCGCAATAAATCCGTTAGTAATAATTTAGCGGTGTATTTATGCTCGATACTGCGGATTTATTGTGCTGTGATTCATCGGATGTGCACTACAGATTATAATAAAAATTCAGAAGGACACATTATTGTGTGGAAGACTTGGTATGCAGTTCACGATTGCGCCAACGATACGAAAAGCTATTTCTGCTTACACATATCTGGTTATTTTTGCGAATTTCAGAACTCTGGTTTTTGCTGCCCTGAACACGATATCAGATGTAGTCGTCGGGTCGATACAATGCTTGCTCTCGACTAAATAAGGCACAATTAATGGGGTAGGCAGTGTAGGCCATAATTCATTTTGGCTTTGATTTAGTGTCGGTGCATCTTTTGGTCCGACTGTATTCGTACTTTCAAAGGTACCTGCTGTCCCATCCTCGGTCCTATCCCTGGTTCCGTTCTGCTTGGGTAGGTGGCGGTGCATCCACACGTGAATCGGTAGATGATCTTGGATTTGTAAACAATTGCTAACAATTGTTTTCAGATTGTCATCAACTGGCCTGTACAGTGATTTATAGAAAAAAGGAGAGAACAAACGAAGAACGAGCATAAATTAAGAAGAAAATATCACTTGGTCCCATTCAAGTGTCCGCATACATAGGCACATCCATGTTACTGTCACCATCCTAGTGATGTATGACCATGGACAATGGTGCTGGAATACTGACCGGCATCAATGGAACACGATTTATCTTGTGAACAAATACCGGCTTGCTCCGCGGTAGATCATGTGCGCCCTCAGACGACGTTATGTGAACTTGTTAGACCCGTCCCCTTTGAACCGTAGTTTGATCCGACCCAAGTTTGGGAAGGGGACTGGCGCCCTCAGCTAGGGTATCTGCATTGTCAAAAATGAAGCAAACCTCTTCATATAGTGATATATTGTAGGAAAACGAACGACTCTCCTTGCTAAAGAATTGTTATTCTGCAATGTTTGTGTTTCTTGGTTCTACCACCAAGTGAAAGCGTTTCCGGACGGAATCCCAATCTGGTTCCAATACGTCCAGCCATTTTTCCGGTTTCTGTTGTGAGGTTAACTGCAAATCAAGGATAAAGTCCACCTGGATCGATTGTCCCGTTCACACCACTTAATATGTGTGTGGGTGATTTGTTCAGCCTTTGTGACGAAACCACTCACCGATCTTCAGGGTGGTAAAGCAAAGGGTTTGCATTTCACCAACCGAAGTGGTGCATGCGCCTACAGCTGAAACTAACTGGTACTGTGATAACTGAACACCGCTCCGTTCCGCCCCACCCAAAAGCTGCAGTCACTTGCCGGAAGTAAAATAATAATTTTGTAGCTAGCTCACGAGTGCTGACAACAAGTGGTGTGAGAGCTCTTCAGATCATTTGAACGCACCCAACATATGCGGAGTGAGAACGCACCCTGTACCATCCGAAGGTTGCAGTCAGCAAAGCGGTGTCCAAAATTTAAGCGTTACAGGATCCTAATCGTGAAGTCACCATTTCTAGAAGTTAATGGATGCCGTCATAGTTAACTCGCCCAGCTAGTCAACAACCAACCTGCAAGCGAAAGGAAGTCCCCTCTGGCTTAATTTCTCAAACCGGGCCGACATTTACTGTTGATGGAGCACTGACTTAGTCCCTAACCGGCAGCACGAAATTGGAAAAGTGAGCTCGTGTTGTTCCTTGAAGCTTGCCACGAGCAAAGACTGTTTTTAGCTTCAAATTATCAACTGCCAGACTGAACTAACGCCACTCGAGTTGCACCCTACATATAGAATTCCTTCTGAATGCGTTACTGTGAGCTCACTACTAGCCGACGTCTGCGTGACTAAATTCTCACAATTGGAATAAATGGAAGGTATATCTGAAATCACTTAGTAGCGGATTTGTTGACGGTATATTTTATATGATCAATGGTGCTCGTGAGCTTTGTGTGCTGAAGGCTTTTTTATGTTTCTTTTGGGTCATTCAAAGAATTCATATAAGTTGGAGACTCAAACCTATCATTAAATTCCATGTTGAAAATCGGCAATGTGCTCACTGTAAAATCGTGAGTCCAGCACGATATTGGTCCCTAAATCACTAGACAGTGGGTTCGGACCACTCGGTGTCCAGTCAAAATAACCTGAGAAGTGCGCAATGGTTGGGATTTTATGCAGGAGATCGAACATTATTCGAAGCCTTCCCTCAACTTCCCATCAGGGCATTTCTATCCTTATGTCCCAGTGCCTCAGTAGGTTTGCCGAGGCTTTCAGGCTAACTCATGAAGGTATCCCGTGAAGAAATATAAACTGAATTAGCGTGGAAACCAGTGAGTGAGTACTAACTGAAGTGATAGGTATCATCGATCTAAGTCCACGATCCTATTGCGGCCCAGCCACCGTACTAAAATTGTATTTCACAGTGTGTTTTGATGAACGAAATCCCACCATAAGCCATAGAGTAATCCGGATTGCTGTTAAAGAACATGATTACCTTTGTTCATTAGGCCTCCATTCATTCTGATGGATACCTTCGTTTTCGTTATTTAGCGAGATGTGTCGAGGCATCTTTGAATGCTTTCACCCTTGAATTGCTAGCTATCGTTTGCCATCCTCTAATTCGCGAGTGACGAGATGAGCTCTCACGTGAATAACAAATGCTCGTTCTAACTTGAGTTTCCTTATTACCCCTGAGTATGACACAACGAAAAATCCAGTCTGCTCATTTTACGTGATATGCCCTTATCTTCTTTCAAGCTGGCTAATTATAGACCAGCTGCCAAGCAAAATTCCGTAAGCCAAAATTACATCTAATCGAATTCCGTTTGGTACAGCAAACCGAGCTGTATTGGGGACGAGTCATTCATGAACTTGCAGTTTCCATATTCAACTGGAAGTGTTCTTCTTAATGGACCAACGAAAATGAACTAGTCGAGTTGTGTCTTCGCGTGTATGAAAGTGTCAGGAAGGTCAGATTCCTCATGTTTATTCCAGAATACCCGAAACCTACTGAGACCTTCAAACTCCACCGAACGCTGGTCAGACAGCCTATGATTGAGGTCAGACATTGCGAGACAGCCTTTGATCGGGGTCGATCAGCTCCCTCTGAATACAGGACGCGAAGTCGTTGTACTTATCGCACGCATTCGCTTGTTCCGAATGAAGCTATTGTGTTCCATGTAG